CATGCAGTAGCCGTGGCTGGCGACAATTTTCAATGTTAATCGTTCGAGATGGTGCCAGAAACGAGAATCCCGTTTAGCATAGATATACGTCCAAATGACCTCCAATCGGTCCAACTATTTGACTGTATTTTACGACATCGTTGTGAATTATCTTCTTTTTATTGAAAGAGAAGTAGAATGGGTTCATCAATATTGAAAGATACAAATATTATTATCAAATGAGCTTTCGAGGGGCTCAGGATCCAATTGAGTCGTGGACTTGCGCCAATAGGAAGATAATACTAGAATTCCTACCGCAAAGTTTCATGTTGGTGCAATATCTGCAATGACTCTTATTATAACATTATCGGTTTAATATGAATTAATCGGAGTTTATTCATGCCACCATTCAACATTGGTGTCTTTGAGACAAATAAGACAATCTTCAGACAAATCTCTTGAGACAAATCTTCTCGAAGTTTCTTTGGTATGATATCCACGAGAGCTTGCAATGATGGGATGACTGAAAATCCGGCAAGCTTTCCCCAGAAACACTGACAACATGTGCCCACTGCCGCACTAAAGGAAAATCACTGTAAGAGCCTCAAGACATTGTCAATTTTCTCTCGATAAAAGACAATTTTTTAGGGAAACCTATTGATATATTTTACCAAGTTTTCAAGAATTTCATTCGTAATTTTATCAACAGTAATCGAAAATTTCAAGGTAAAACTCTCATCAGGAATGAATGTTCTGTAGAGGAAAATTTGACAGAATGTTTACGGCGATTCTCCTCAGCACGGCGGTCTAAATTTTATTTAAAGTTTTATGTTAGTCTCATACCGTCATCGGTGCACTGTCAGTGATAATCCTTTGACGTTTCGGCTGAAAGTCTTTCTCCTAAAAGATTAGTGAATGTCATCGACTAAAGAAACTAATGATAACGTAACATTAATGAATTTTAAAATTGCGTTTGAGAGAGAAATAGAACGAAGAAAGGTGTCACAAGCAACCGTCGTCGATAGGGAAACAAGGTTGATAATAACGCCTTGATGCAACTATTCGTGCTCGAGTGATGTCTATGTTGCATATACACAAAATTGAAGGCGCCTCAGGTGACTTCGCTGAGCGTCGATGTATGCGACTTGTTGGTCGGCAAGTTGCACTTCAGCCAATATATTTTCAAGGTACCAAATGTTGTCTTCTATGACCAAATCTGCCGTGCTAAGGAAGAAAGCCGTATTAGCCTTCAGACGTTGCCAATTTTCCTCCGATAAAAAACTGAATTTACTGGGAAAATTGCGAATATAATTTTCCAAAATTTTCAGACAATTTTGTACGCAATTTAATCTAAAACATCTGAATTTTTCAAGAGAAACATGCATTAATGTTGTCGGAAATACATGTTTTATCAAGGGAAAGGCAACTCTCGAATGTTCATACGGCGTTCTCCCTTAGCACGGCAGAAATGCTATACTCCACCTTCGTATTGGGTCACTTCCTCTTCAGAACAAAATACGTATCTCACCAGCGCTCATTAAAACCCACCTTGCATCCTGCGGTTTCGGATAAAGTATCCAGAGTGCTTGAATTTATGGCACATAATGATAATTTCTCCTTTCCTACCTAGAGGATACGTACCTAATGGGCATTTTTTACCATCGAAATTGTACATTTAGGAGAGAAAGGTCGAGAGTCCTATGGAAAGGCTGAAGCTCTTTAAGCCATTAGTGACGGTCCGGTAAGAGGGAAACACGAGCCGCAGTTTTGCCGTATTTATGCTGAATAGAACTATGTCCAAATGACTTGAGTAAAGAGAAATTGAGCGCATATGATTGGCAAGCCTCTTAGTTCTTTTAATTTTAATTCTTTTTTGCATGGGTAGTTTCTTTCAGTATAAAAAACGTCTATTTGAACGAAAAGTGGGCGTGGCAGACCCTATTTTTAGCATCAGCTGGTCTGCACCGCAAAGTGACCAGTTATACTTGCCGCACCACTGACAATCGTTTGAGAGTTTTCTTTGAACTCTCTCATGTATATGATGAGGAAGTCAAGGAAATTTTTAATTTTTAATATACTTAGAAAATTTTCACAAGATACTAAGCTACTATACTAAGATTCCATTTTTTAAAGTTTTGAGTACTGGGTTTCTCTTGCTTCTGTATTATTTCACGTTGAAAAAACACGCTATTTCCCACCAGGACAAAAAATGAAGCCCTTCTGCTGATTTTCAAAATTTGTGGAAGCCAACAGCCAATCAAGGGGACCTCCTTCTCTCTACTAAACCCGATATTTATATTAAAGCATTTCCCTGGTAAAAATTGGCGATAGGAGCTGCGTTTCAAAATACCATAGGAGCTCTTATAGCCGACTGAAGAAGGCGATAGAAAATCATATAGCTGGCTGTAGAAAGTGGAAAAAATCATACGGCCGGACTACTTGAAACGATAAAAAATTACACAGCCGGGCTATAGTTCCTGTCGCCGGGCTTTACACTTTATCGCCTGGCTGTTGCTTTTTTGCCATCGTCTATAAAAGGCAATAAGAAATTGTGTAGAAATTCGTGTGCTTTGTAAAATCTTAAGTTTGTACGGAATCACCTTAATATTTACAAAACGCACATGATATTTTCCCTTACTACATATTTTTTTTCATCAATTAAAATGAGAATAATCCATACAGAGTGTGCAAGCATTTCAAAGTCATAAGTTGAAAAATGCTGACTCCCCGACATTAAATATTAAAGCCTAACACAAAGCGGACACGCACACTGGCGCCTACAAACCTAACAGGGATACTTCACGCATTGCGCAATGCTTGAAGTATCCCTGTTAGGTTTGAAGGCGCCAATGCGCGTTCGCGCTGGCTGCTCGCCCGCGCCGCAGCGTACCACGGCGTGCCACGGCGTCTGAAGCAACTATTTCACACCAGAGGTATTGCACAGTATCATACGAAATTGAAGGCCCTCCAACATATTAAGAATGACAGGCATCCTTCAAAAGTACGGAGCATTCCTCGCAAAATAAATCAAGATACTACGGCACAAAAAGAGAGCGGTGGTCCAAAAACTAACTAAGTCCTTGTATCCGTATTTATTAACGTTTAGCATAAACTGTATCGTCTTGCTGTTGCTTAGTCGCCATCGGCTATAAAAGGCTATAAGAAATTGTGTTGCCGGCTATAGAAGCTATTGGAAATCTTACAGACGGCTGTAAGTCTATGGTATTTTGGAACACAGATTCTATTGCCAATTTTTACCAGGGTTTGCTCTAATTGCGGGTTCATGTATTCTTTTTGTAGAGGCCATTCTCGTCATTTCAATTGAACCGATTATTTTCCAAACCTCGTAAGCGCCAAACCCTATTTTGGTGGTGGAAGGGTTGTTTTTTTCTTCGTTTTCTCTAGTGTAATCAATCATGTTTGATTTCAAAATAGCGTCCCAAAAGAATATAAATTTTTTGGAATTCGAAGATTGTCAACAAAGCGAATAAAATGTTTTTTCTTGTTTTTCTTTCGCAATTTCGGTGCTTACGAGATTTGGAAAATAATCGGTTCAATTGTCAATTTATCGGCGGGAAAAAACTAACCGAGGTGAATAATTATTAGGCAAGTTATACTCGGGTCAAGATGTTCGAAATGATGCGAACCCTATCGGTTTGCAATCGTGATTTTCCCGCGACATTTTCGATACGACTGGAACGTGACCGGGTCAGCAAAGAAAGTCGGGCACATTTTTTATCGACAACCATAGACATCTCATGCCGTGCGACGGGAAGAAATTTATGACCGGGCAATAAAACAGCACTTTGTCGAAACCCAAGCAACAAGAATTAAAAAAGCTCCCGCCAAACGTTAAGCAGTGGCGTGGCGTGCTTTGCGATATATCGATTGTTATGCCATATAAACCTATGGTAAAGGATCGATAAACAGGGTGTTCGCAGCGAACACCTTAATAATCGATTCTTTACCATAGGATTAAATAGCATAACAATCGATACATCGCAATTCGCGCCACGCCACTGACGTTAAGAACCTGCGGCGGAGACCTGTGTTATCCTGCTGTGCCAAGTAAAAACGCCGTATAAACATTTCAAAGTTACCAAATTTCTGATCGTAAAATACTGATATTTGAGGTAAATTATACATACTTTTCTCAGAAATTTTAAAGTGATCATATCCTAAATCATAAAGCATATCTTGTAAAGTGTCCGGAGAAAAATATATAAATCCATTATCAAGAAAATGCTGTTTGTATAAGCAACAATTTTGGCAACAACTGAATGATCATGCGCCGTTCTCGACTGAAACGGCAATAAGCACTGCTTTGCTCGGGCGTTAAAGGCAAAAGCAAGTGCGTTATTTCTCTCGCTTTGCTGCAATTCTGTTTACGAGGTGCGGAAGAACGAAAAAGTACCGCAGGAAGAATGAGATAGTTAATTGGGTGAGAGTTCGGTAATTTTGAAGGAGTTAATCTGAGAGCGTACGGCAAAGCTATTAAAACATGGGATTCTGGTTGCAATTTCCGTTTGGCTGCTTTTAGAAGGAAGTGAGCCTTTTAAGCTGGCTGTTAATCCAAAAAGCCGTGGGTCGCTAACTTATGCCATATAATCATGGCTAAAGGGCTATGGCTCCAGTTCAAAGTCTATCTCTCTCTCCATTTGGCTGAAAACCTTTAAATTCATTTTGGTAAAAGATACTTTTAGATCTAAGGTTTCCCCAACTTTTTGTGAATCTAGTTGTATAGCTTGCCCTTTGAATTTTAATTATGTAAAATTAAAGCTGGAAACGGTCCTGTCTGTAGCTTGAGTCCAGAGTGAGCTGGAGACCCGAAAGTTTTAAATAGTCAAAATTGTGTCTCCTAAATCTTGTCCTAAAAGATGTTTGACTTTTAGTCAATAACTTTTTTCGTTTTTACCTCATAATATCTTTTGGCAGACAAAACGACTCATTGAAATTCGTATTCCGTATTGTAATCCCATTCTTACAAATTTTTCTACTTATTATTTTTTTATTTGTTCCAGAGGGCGAGTGCACTAACTGCGTGGAGGAGGGCCCAAAAGTAAGCAAGTGGACCATGCCTCTCTTAAAGATGGGGGAGAAACGATACTACCTCGGAATTTTCTTTAAGGTAAGCTAAGTAGGGGAAAACTCAAACATAAACTGTGACGGAAGCGCACTGTATGTTAAAATAATTTTTTATTTGATAACAATTTGTAATTTATTCTTGAGGAAGTTAGAATTTACATTTTTCAAAGAAAAATCTCCACAACCATGTTTGGTATTTTGAAATATTTGCTTTGATATGCGCACATAACATTTCAACACATAGCGTTCTATGGACTTCTGGTGCATTTTTTTTTTCTTTTTTTTTTAATAAAAACCTCGTAAGCATTTTTTGTAAATAAAGGTAAAATTCTACAGAAACGAAATCTGGTTCCTCTCATGGGCTCTCCTCAATTTTATACAATATCTCGGAGTTCTCGTGTGCTCACAGGAGCAATCGAGGTGTCCTTACCTTTTCAGATGGATAAAGAGTTATTAAACGACAGTCTGGGAATATTTGCTTAAATTTCTATCATAAAGGACTCTAGTCCAGATATATGTAGATGCACTTTTATGTCATCCTTTTTCTGGATCGAAAAAGCCAGGAATTCCTGGAAAAACTTATCGTGTTTTTTTGTCTGTCATACAGTCTTGCTTCCCCAGACGCTAAAGATAAATTTATATCATTAATAACTATGTATCAAAATATCGTACACATTTTACCAAAATACTGGTTTTTACGCATTGTCGAACATTTATCAGCTGTTTCTTCTAAAAAATGTATCTTGTAAACCCTAAAATAAAGATAAGAGGATTTGATAGCGAAAATTTAAGTTCAATTGGTTTCATCGAACGATTAAGTTTCGTGTCAGGGCAGATATGATTTACCAAATATCGGGATCGCCCCGTACCAAATCGATATTAATATTTGATTTAATACAGTATCATTCACCAATTGACCATTTTTATAGTTTCGAGGGGCATTTTTTTTTTCTGGGGGGGGGTGTAGGGATTGAAAAATGTTCCCCATAGATTGATTTGGAGATTGACACTTTGACATGCCCAACAGCATTCCCCTCATAGTTTTTTTGAAATCCACCGATCGCACCTAGAATACATTGCATCAAATCTGAGTGTCCACCTCAACTGGATCCCATTTAGCAAAAAGGAGCCTGCGCGATTAATATGTAAAAATTTCATTTTCATTTTTCACGTTGTCGCCCTTTTGGCACCTAAGAGCCACATAAATCGAGTTGTCCATACTCTTCCTATAAAGGTACTCTACTAAATAACTCCTCCACAGCAGCATCGTACAGTAGCCTGAATATTATGAAACCGGACGAAATTGGGGAGATTTCGTGCGCGTAATAGCGCGGTCTCCAGGAGGCGGGGCGCAAGCTCATCTGGCTCATCTTGACAAGCGGTTTCGGAACCCGGCGCACAGTGGATCGAGTCAAAAGGAGAGGTTGGACAAAATTTGGAAACTTTAAACGCTTATAACTTCGTTAATACGGAACTTTCGGGTTCTAAAAGTGGTTCCACTGGTTTCCTCGTGAAATTTTCTTCTCGAACCACCCCTTAAACTTTAAAATGTGACGAAATTAACATCAAAATTCGCAGTTTCAGTCAAAAATTTCGTGTCCGACCTCTCTGATTGACTCGATCCACTGTGCGGCGCGGCGCGGCGGTCAGGTGTTGGGGTACCAGCCGTTGGTGAAATTGGTGGCTGTCAAGCCGAGATTTACTCGCGGGTACCCCGTACCGGGGAGGCGCGGCCGCGACGTTTGGTTAGTAGGTAAATGCGGTCGTAGGTCACTCAACTCCGTTCCTAGTCGCACACTCTAGGCAGACTTAGATGCATGCTAATGGTGGTGCAAGATGATGCAGCTTCGACTCTCCGAGGCAAGGATCTTGATGCCTGCCTCCATGCGATTACTAATTTCCATTAATATTTACGCATCAAACATCACATTCGACTAAAATCCTGTTAATTGTATGAAGCAAGACTACTATATTCATACTCACCTGATAAGCTTATATAGATCACCTGTGGTTGATACTAAATCAGTTCTTGACACAAGAAGAGAAAAACTTCGTGAATGGGACCCGGAGTTGAGATCATATAGATCCCTGAAGTTTTCAGCTCACGCATCCGAAAACTTGAGGTCCGGCTGCCGAAGTTCGGGTCAGACATCTGAAGTACTTCGGTATATACCGAAGGGTTCGGGTCACACATCTGAAGTATACTTCGGTGCACAAGAGAATATGATTGCGCTAAGTCTACCAAAAATGTTGTTGATTTTTTGTTCTAATCAAAGGAAAAATCAGTGGAATTTTCAGTCCCACACTTGCAACAATCTTATAGTAAAAATACGATTTCTGCGTGGGAATTTTGTAATGCTGAAATGTATTATTATATATAGGTATATATTATTATTAATTACTCTTTTCGTCCAAAAAACGACGATATGATATAGGGATCTGTGAAAAATAATTTAAAACAATCCACATAAAAAAAAAAAAATGGAAACCTCTGTCGATAGGTTCGATTTTATTTTTTTCATTACATTTATTTATTTGTTTATTTTTGGAAGAATGGAGAGAGACCCAACGACCCATTTCTCAAATTACCCCTAAAAATCTTCTAAAAAATCCATGCATGTGGTCCGCTTCTTTCTAAGTAAAAACGAGTATCTTGTATTTTACTATACTAAAAATATTTGACAAAAAATTATTGAAAAAGCTTCCATGGGGTCATTTGTTTGTCTTTTTTCAACAATTTGGGCATCAACTGGACATATGTCTGCTACACTGAACCGGAGACAGGTAGGAAATACGGGATGTGTCCGTTAGTCGAGGGATGTAAGAATGAATGTGAATTATAAAACACCCATAGTGACGTCAGCGGCGATGAAGCCGTCGCCACGTTATCCCCGATGATATCACTGAATATTATACCATAACTCGAAATTATATGGATACTCCCTCTATTCCTTCTCCGTGACAGTTTCCGAAACCCTCTGTTCCCAAATGAAAATTTGCAGGTAAATTTCCGTACCCCACTTTAACTCATGAGTCCTGTCTACAACGCCCTTGTCACAAGCCCACGGCTCATCCATTTGGTAGAATGTAAAATCCCGCTTTTCCATTTCTCCAAAGGGAATCACGCCCACTTTTACATTGTTTTTTCCCACTCGTCCGTTTAGTAGAAATACGCCCAGCTAATGGAGAATTTGCATGCAAATTGCAAATTGTTTATAGCTTCATCTGAAAGTGCTCCAAGAGCTGATTTCACTGTATTTTTTTTAATTTTTTTCTGATAAAGGAAATAGTATAAATATAGATTTCAAAGTGAGGAAATGCACCGCCTAGTTACGGCATCTGACGGCATTTCCCATTTAAACACGTATTTTAGTGGATTCGATCATTTTGTCATATCTTCTCCAATACTTGTTCAATGCATGAACCAAGGGTATCCTTGTGTTGAGCTCACTCAGTAGTTTCCACTTAAATACGAAATTCATCAAATTGCAGCTATCTGCAAATTCTCCATCGTTTGAATACCCTCTTTGGGGTGCCATATTTTTTATTTTCAAAACTAAGCCGGGTCGTACCACATGCTCGGATGAACGTTTCAAGTTCTTGATGGATTTAAAAAATAATTGAAAGAGTTAGCTAAAAAAAACTAAGCCCCCTCACCGCGCCGGTCAACGAGCGTATTTTTATTAAACGCATTCCGTCTCAGTGTTATAAACCTCTCAAATATATTTTAATCCTGATGGATTACTTTGAAGCCACCTTGTGAGGTAGTTTTAATAAAAATCCGTGTCATCGATTATTATCATTTTCATCAATTTCCTGCTCAACCCAGGTTGATGAATGATGAGATGGAACCAGTAAGAATCCTCACATTGTTTAAAATGTTCGTGTTTTTATGGTTTCATTGGATTACTTTTTCCTCACTCACACTGAAACATCTGTGAGTCGATTGTCGAATCATTTATCGAATGATCTTGACCGATAAATCCCAATCTTAGTAATGCTTTTTATCGATCACGGTCGTTCAATATAGATTCAACAATCGAGCTGCTGGAGGATGAAGCAGCTTCCTGCTGAATTGATGTACTCTTGTTCCTCTCAATATTACTTGGAAGTTGGACTTGCGCAGCTGTCACCGATGTGATCCACGTTCGATCCGAGCGCCTTGCATTTGATTTTTGTCGAGGCTGCAAATTTTCAACCCAAAAATTTGATCAACGTGATCCCCTCCCTCCTAAAAATGAATAATAATGAATCAGTTGCTTTCGTCACAGAATCGTGTTTGATTCTTGTAGATTAGCTCAAAATAATAGGATCTGTCCATACAGCAGCTTTCTACGTTCAATATTAACCGAAATTTCGCCCCTTGAAAAGTCGGGTTTTTGACGTCATTCACTGCGGGAGTGACACCCTTGGTTTCTTCCCTCTTGCTCTCATCCAAGTTTCACGTTAAATAACCAATGCAAATGCGCGTCACACTGACTGATGAAAGCAAGGTTAAAGAAACTAAAGGTGTCACCACTGCGGTTGATGACGTCAAAGACCCGACTTTTCAAAGTGCGATGAACGTGAAAAGTTGCTGTTCGGACAGATCTGACTATTTTTCGCTGATCTCTAATCAAGCATCAAAACACAATTCTGTGACCAGCGCAACTAACCCATTTCAAAATATTAACCGTAAGTTTAGGTTACATTATGTTCTACACTGAAAAAAACGTATTCACTTACGCTTCATAAATTATGGGTCGGGGCCACATACGGACTATGAAAAATTCGATGCCTACCTATGAATAGAGATAGAGTCCATTTTAGTATGAACAAATATCACATACAAAGAGTATGTACTCTGAGTCCATACCGTATGGAGCCAGCGTCTATACCGTATGGACCCAGCGACTATACCTTATGTATCCAGCGTCTATGCCGTATGGACCCAGCGTCCATACCGTATGAACGGTAAGTTTCACACACATGCTTTTCAATACACAACATGTTTACGGCACATCTCTGCTCTATTCGTGAAAGCCAGATCGTTTGTGCGAGCAG